GTTACGTTCAGGTACAGAATTCACATGTTTTGGTGGATACGGTTACGCTCAGGTACAGAATTCACATGTTGTTGTGGATATGGCTACGCTCAGGCAAAACTTATTAGATTAATTTTTCAAGGGCTTGTAAATATATAAATTGAAGCCCTGTAGCTTAATTGATCAAAAAGTTATTAACCATTTCAGATTGCTTTGAAACACCGACCTGCAGTTTGACTGTCCTCCACCCTACCCTATGTATTAAAAAAATTATGATGTTGAAAAAGTCGTTTCTAAGTCGTTTTAAAAAACCACAATGAGGGCGAAACCCCCCCCCCCCTCCTAATCGTAAAAGGGTTAATTTAAAATTTTATTTCAGGATTTACTTTTGGTTTTCTGAATTTTCTTTAAATTTCAGACTACTGTTTGATATACAGATAGGATTCCTAGATGCTGATGTAATGACAGAACTATCAGCATACGAAACCAACTCTTGGGTAACAAATGTTCTAGAATCAACAGCTGATTATTTTAATCAATTTGATCAGAATATAAATTATCGATAAAACATCTGACATTCCTGAGTTTAAAAAACGTATACACATGAACAAAAATTACATTTATTATCTACACTTCAAGTTTTGAACATTGATTAGAAGGTTCATTTACGTTACATAATTGGTTTTTATATCAATGTTTCATATAAAAAAATATTAATATAGTTTTATTCAAAAAATATTAATCATTTAAACTTATTGTTCAGGTAAGGTATAAGTGGGACACAATGCAAACAGAATTCACATGCTGTGGTGGATACGGTTACGCTCAGGTATAGAATTCACATGCTGTGGTGGATAGGGTTACGCTCAGGTACAGAATTTGCATGCTGTGGTGGATACGGTTACGCTCAGGTACAGAATTCACATGCTGTAGTGGATATGGTTACGCTCAGGTACAGAATTTGCATGCTGTGGTGGATACGGTTACGCTCAGGTATAGAATTCACATGCTGTGGTGGATATGGTTACATTCAGGTACAGAATTCACATGCTGTGGTGGATACGGTTACACTCAGGTACAGAATTCACATGCTGTGGTGGATACGTTTACGCTCAGGTATAGATTTCATATGCTGTGGTGGATACGGTTACGCTCAGGTACAGAATTCACATGCTGTTGTGGATACGGTTACGCTCAGGTACAGAATTCGCATGCTGTGGTGGATAAGGTTACGCTCAGGTACTGAATTCACATGCTGTTGTGGATACGGTTACGTTCAGGTACAGAATTCACATGTTTTGGTGGTTACGGTTACGCTCAGGTACAGAATTCACATGTTGTTGTGGATATGGCTACGCTCAGGTACAGAATTCACATGCTTTTGTTGTTACGGCTACGCTCAGGTAGAGAATGCACATGCTGTGGTGGATACGGTTACACTCAGGTACAGAATTCAATTGGTGTTGTGGATAAGGATAAGGTACAGAATTTAAAATGCTGTGGTGGATACGGTTACGCTCAGGTGCAGAAATCACATGCTGTGGTAGATATGGTTAAGTTCAGGTACAGAATACAATTGGTGTTGTGGATAAGGTTACGCTCAGGTACAGAATTTAAAATGCTGTGGTGGATACAGTTACGCCCAGGTGCAGAAATCACATGGTTGGTGGATACAGTTACGCTCAGGTACAGAATTCACATGCTTTGTTGGATATGGTTAAGCTCAGGTACAGAATTCACATGCTGTGGTGGATACGGTTACGCTCAGGTACAGAATTTGCATGCTGTGGTGGATATGGTTACGCTCAGGTATAGAATTCACATGCTGTAGTGGAAACGGTTACGCTCAGGTACAGAATTCACATGCTGTGGTGGATACAGTTACGCTCAGGTACAGAATTCACATGCTGTGGTGGATATGGTTACACTCAGGTACAGAATTCACATGCTGTGGTGGATACGGTTACACTCAGGTACAGAATTCAAATGCTGTAGTGGATACGGTTACGCTCAGGTACAGAATTAACATGCTGTGGTGGATACAGTTACGCCCAGGTGCAGAAATCACATGGTGTGGTGGATACAGGTTTACGCTCAGGTATAGAATTCATATGCTGTGGTGGATACGGTTACGCTCAGGTACAGAATTCACATGCTGTAGTGGATACGGGTACGCTCAGGCACAGAATTCACATGCTGTGGTGGATACGGTTACATTCAGGTACAGAATTCACATGTTTTGGTGGTTACGGTTATGCTCAGGTACAGAATTCACATGCTTTTGTCGTTACGGCTACGCTCAGGTAGAGAATTCACATGGTGTGGTGGATACGGTTCCACTCAGGTACAGGATTCAATTGGTGTATCCCAGTTGAAGAAAGACAGGGACAGGTAAGTATTTGACCGAGGGAAAAAGTAATATAAATAATAATTCTTATTGATGGTCAAAATAATTGATATGCAACGTGAACGTGATACATTTTTGGAAATATTTAGCGATTTATAAAGAACGATTTTGTTGAAGAATGAAACTTCACCTATCAATGATCTTTACAAAATAGAATTTAATTTGTATTGCACTTATTTACAGGGGTATATGGACTGGAAAAAGACAACTATGGGAGGAAGTAGGAACTCTGTACCAGACTCTTGTTGTCTTTTCGTTTCCCCAGGATGTGGGTCTAATCTATTTGAGGTAACAACAACAACATCAACAACAACAACAACAACAACAACAACAACAACAACAACAATAACAACAACAACAACAGCAACAACAGCAACAACAACAACAACAACAACAACAAAAATAACAACAACAACACAAATAACAACAAAAGAATTTCAAAACAATGAAAAAGAAATGTTATGGTTTGGATTGGATTGTAAATTTCAAAATCAATATAATGACCGTTGCCTGTTGGACGGTGGTTTTTTTTATAATGCCGATAGTCTTTTTAATGCAGTGCTAATTGATAAAGATATATTTAGTTATTCTAAGCTTCAAATTTATATGACAGTTTTTTTTCGTTTCACTGGTATTAAAATCAAAATATTCTCTTTATTCTGAAGCCTATCAAGTTTTTAGTCCTGAACTGCATTATTTTCACTGACTTTGCTTAACTAGTTAATATAACAAATTAGTAATCTCTGTCTGGATGTTTGTTAATTTGTTGACAGATTAGCCGCAATTGTGGTTAAACTCTTATTGGGAAACTCGGTATTACCATGGGAATGTATTGAATTTTGGCTTATTAATTTTAAGCTTTGAGAGTTGACTTAAAAAGAGATAACTAAGTTTACAGGCTGAAGGCTGGGTTATAAAGTACAAAATACAACCATTTTTTGTTTTGTACTTCATACGTAAGAATTTCCAATGATCATATGAATGTTGTAAAAGTAGAAATCTGTAAGATTAAAGTGCATGGATGCATAACAGTGGTGCAGCGAAAAAGTCATGATAAAAACTTATCACAGCTTTGCAGGGAAGAAATCCTAGTTAAGCTTATTTAGGTGAATGATATAAGAGTAGTAAAGTAATAGTAATGTGATGCATCGATGTATCAGTGATGCAGCGAAGACATTTAATTAAGTTTATCTAGGTTAATGATATAAGAGTAATTATCGGTAAGATTAATGTGCATGGATGCATAACAGTGATGCAGCGAAGACATTTTAATTAAGTTTATTAAGGTGAATGATATAAGAGTAGTTATCAGTAAGATTAATGTGCATGGATGCATCAGTGATGCAGCGAAGACATTTCAATTAAGTTTATTTAGGTGAATGATATAAGAGTAGTTATCGGTAAGATTAATGTGCATGGATGCATAACAGTGATGCAGCGAAGAATGGAAACACATGTAACTGTTATTCTCATGCTTTTCTCGGTAAGAACTTTTACAAAATAACATATTTTTATCCAGAATTAAGAAATTTTCCTAATTCAGAATAATTTCCAAAATAATCCAAAATACTATCCAAATGGGGATTTCACAAAAAAAAATGTTACTATCCATTATCCCAAACTTATAGTCGATCCATGTATAAATTGTTATAAGATGCATTTGATATGTTGCTAATCACCAGTTTGTTTTGAATTTAATTTAAAGTCTTCAAAAACAGGGCTGGGTTGGGGGGATAGGAGATAAAAAAAATTATCTCAAAAGGTTTTATTTTAACCCTATTCCTGCTGGGGGGGGGGAGAGGAATTCTTGCAGTTATGCAGCTGATGTGCATTGTACTCAGCTGTTGCCTTGCATCTAACTTTGCTCAGGTAATGGGAATGTTCATGGTAATTGATCGGAATTTACTCTTTTTTTTAATTTCTGTTTGTCTGTTCATTTATATTTATTTAAAGCGTAATTAAGGTCAAAAGTTCAACCATCGAATGCTGTCATATTTAAGGGTTTGTACTTTGTAATATAGAAATATCCAAAATTTTTAAATCAGGAAGGTTAGTTTTTTTTCAAGTGTATTTCTCTTAGAGACATCCACTGAATGTTTAATTCTGATGATACTTTTAGTGAATACTTTTAGTGAAAATAACCATGGAGTTTTCGCCCGAATATGCAAGAATTTTTGCAAAGGAATTGAGCTTTTGTAACAAACATAAATTTTCTAACCCCTATATCTTTGCAACCTGATTGTGTTAACCTTTGATATTTCAAACTTAGACTATTTGATCTACCAGAATAAATAGTTTTAAATATCAAAGGTCTAGAAAAACGGGTTGCTAAGTTATAAGAATTAGAAAATCTGAGTTTATGGCAATAACTCAATTCCTTTCGTAAACTTTACCAACATTTTCATTTTTTTGTATATCTTTAGTATTTTTCTTTTAAAGCATCTCAACCCACTGGATAAAAATTATCGACAGGGTAAGACTATGGATAACTGTATGCTGGGTTTCTATTTATTTTTAACGACTTTTTTCTTCCTTTTACATATTTGTTAATCGTTTTTTGCCTTAAATTTAAGGGCAAAACAAATTTTTTTTAGTCCAGATTTCGTCCAAACAAATATTGAAATTTTCCGATAATTGATAAAGTTCAATTTCATTTTACCGAACAACTTTTAATGTTTCCATCATTACAAATATGGATATTTTCTGCAAATTTTTATCAAGTAATGAATTTCATTTTCATTTTAACTAATAATTTCAATGTTTCCGTTATTTAATGGAACTTTTTGATAATTCTATAAAAAAATGTTCGTTCAATACCGAATCTTTGCCAAGCCTTACTTCTGTGACATCTTGTTAATCAATGGATGGTGCAGCCTGCATATATTATTGGATTATGTATAAACATTATCTTTATTCTTCAAGATTAATTGTTTGTTTTTCATTAAAAATACAGATATTAGATACAAGGTTTAAGTTGATTAATAAATAAACATCTAGATCTAGTTAGATATTTGTCAAATTATTTAGTTTTCTTTTTCTTTACATAAATGAATTCTTTTTTCTATTGACAAAGAATTTATATGAAACCCCTGATCTGATGTTAGATTTCGTTGTTTAGTTTGCTACACTATAGTTTCAGAAGAAGTAAATATTTCCATTTACTGTTATAGCGCCGATATAAGGACTTATCTCTAATTGGATAATGAGCTAGATAGAATGATAGATGTTACCGTCATGCAATTTTTATTGGTTCAGAATACAAACCAAGCACATATGGCTAAACCCTGACTGGATCAGCGGATAATGGACTTGGCATACAAGAGCTAGTGGCTGTTAGATACTTATTACATGAATGAAATTGTATAATTTATTTTAAATACCATTTTTATTGAGAAAGAATTTTTTTAATCTAATTATATCTAAATTATATAATCTAAATTATATCCAACTAAGATTTATGTTTAATTATATAATCTCTAAATATATCTAATTATATCTAATTATATTTATCTATTTAATCTAATTATATCTAATAGTAGATTTTGCTTTTCAGGGAGACGACTACAGTGTTTATGAATATGAAACCAGATCAAGGTAAAATAAAGAAGCTTAAGGAGATTTTTATATCTTTCCAACCTGATGGTGGAATCTTAATATTTTAAACTTAGATTATTTGATCGGACAGAATTCATTGTTTGAAATATCAAAATTTTACACCATCAGGTTGCAAAGATGTAGGGATATTAAAAGTTTGTGACAAAGACTCAATTCAGTTAAGAAACTATAAAATGCTTGAAATTTGGCGCTCCTCGTTTTACTTCTGATTCTGATCTTTTAATTGAAAATTAAGAAAAACAATGCTTGCTTCGAAAACCAAAATTCTCACTAAATGATGTCCAAACTATGATGTTCTAATCTCTATATCTTTGTAATCCAATGCCGTAGGCCTTAGACATTTCAAACTATGAATTCTGTTAGATGAAAAAATCTATGTTTGAATTATCAATGGTTTACACCATCATGTGGAAAAAATATAGGTATTAGCAAATCAGAGTTTGTTACAAAGACTCAATTCCTTTTTGTATATTTTTTAAATATTAAAGTTGCGTAGTTTACATATAAAAGTATACATATGAAAAAGATACCTGAAAAATGTCGATTTTTCCATGTAAAGTTTCTCTAACAGTTTCAATTAATATTACTAACAAATAGATTTTCTTGTTTTTGTTTGTTTCTTTAAATATTAAACCTTAAAAATTTTAAAATATGATTTTATATTAAGCTTATTTTTTTAACCTTTTCCATATTTATCTAACTTTTAAACCTTGCAAGCTGAAAATATGACTTCAAGCTAGAGTTTCCAACGAAATTTTCTTAGAACGAAATTCGCGAAAATAAACGAACGAAATTGGTTGAATTTCATTACAAAATTTTCGCAAATTTCGATGTAGTTTCGACAAAATTTTGACCTCATTTTTGCAAAAATTTCGTCCATTTTCGCGAAATTGTCGTCAATTTTTTTTGTCGATACAAATCGATTTTTTTTCCTCTTCGCTTCAATAAGATTGTTATCTGGTGAGGCCCCTCTAGGATAAATGTATCGCACATTTTCATATTATTTAATAGATAAGGTAAACTAGCGAATAATCTCATGAAAACAATAGTTTCTGAATTTATTAGTAAACAATTCGTATATATGGAAGTTGAGAAAATATATTGTTTCTCAGTGATTTCCTGCATCTCTATTTACACACCTAGTAATTAAGATGTAAGCTGTAGTGTTTAGTGTTGAATCTTAAATTTTCAAAGAACGAGACAACCTGAAAATCTTTAAACCTATCACGACGGGGGGGGGGGTGTTTTCAACCCCATCCTGTGATTTTTTCTAAAAAACTTAATAACGGCTTGCATTAGAATGCTGAAACTTAGTTTTTTTTTTAAATATTTCTGCAACGACTGCTATGTTTAGGGGATGTTGAAATTAGCAAATTCAGTTGTCAAATTGGGTTTCAATTAAAATTTTTTTTATATTTTGTTAAAAATGTTGGAAAATAAGGTTCAAATTTTGCGAAAATGGGTTGTTGAAAATTTTTCCGAAAAAAATTTCGAACGAATTTCACGAATTTAGCCAAAATTTTGACGAAACTTTTCGCGAAAATGAAAAAAAAATGTTGTTTTTGCTCACTTTTTTGTTGCCTGAACAAAATTTTTGCAAAAGAGAGTAAATGAAAATTTGGAAACCCTTATTTAAGCTTATTTCTATAATCTTTTTCAATGTTTATCTAACTTTTAAACTTTTAAATCAAAATTTAGATAAATATGAAAAAGATTAAAAAATAAACTTGAAGTCATATTTTAAAACTTAAAGGTTTAAAAGTAAGGTTACATGAAAAAAAAGTTTGAACATAATAGCTTGAGCATATTTGTTAAAAGTTTTTTTTCATGTTACCTTACTTTTAAACCTTTAAGTTTTAAAATATGACTTCAAGTTTATTTTTTTAAATCTTTTTCATATTTATCTATCTTTTGAATCTTTTTAGTTGAAATTATGACTTTCAGCTTTTTGTTTCTAGGGGTGGTAGTGTTAAAAGAGGAGCTGGGGGTTCAGAAACAACATTCTAGTAAGGAAACAGCAATCAATCATTCAAATTGAATAGTTTAATAACAAAATTGAAATGATCAATTTTTTTAGCTTTGCAGTCACTTATAGTTTGTTTTCTGTCCTACTGTCTAAGAAGTATTTCTGTGTAAATTAATATGATTGATTGCTAGTGGTGTCGAACCATCACAAGAAATCCCGCTTGATCTCTAACGAAGACGATGCGCTGCCTATGTACAACTTTAAACGCGGCAAAAGTGTTTAACTATTTGTCACTTTTTTACGAGAAGATTTGCTATTTAAGGCCAGAATAGAGTCGATTTTAAAAACTATTTTGCAATGTTTAAAACTATTTTCTGTAAACTAGAATATTTCATTTTGCATACTTTTTTTCCATTCTTCACTAAAACCTATGTTTTTTTATAAGTTTTGCCAATTAAATTGGAGTCTTAAGAATATAAACTTTTTTAGTTGTAAAACATTAGATTCATTCAAAATTAACGCTTTCTTCATGTTCCAGTGTTCTTAATCGTTTTGGTTTTTGGTTTTTTAAAAACTTGATATAACTTCCCACACTTCAAAACTGCATTTGTTTAAAGTTTTTTTTTGTGAAATATTTTTATCCCACAAAAAAAGATAAATCGAACCAAAAAAACGATCTTTAAACCCGTTTTAGATAGTTTTTGGAATATTTGTTTTGCATTTATTTCTATCAGGGTCACAATATATTTGCAACAAATGAACCAAAGCGATTAACAACATTGTTAGATAAGTATGCGGGGCTCCATAGTTCTATTTTACTTTTTTTATCATCGGCTACATATAGGGGAATAATATTTTTTACCCCCACCCACCGTTACACTAAATTAACTGAATGTCTTAGTTCTAAGTTCCTAAAAACGACTTAAAAGTTTTAAAGTTTAACAATTGTAGTTTTGAATTATAGGAAAAATCATAGATTTTTTAACAATTCATGGGAAATAATTTTTAAGATTTGTAACTTTTATGAATATTTTATTTCGAAATATTGTTAAAAATTTTATCAAATTTCCTTCTTTCTTTCAAAAGCTAGATTCAATTTTGTTGCTTTGACTTTGTTAAGTAAAGAATTCTTTTTCAAACTTCTTTTCAATGTATTTCAAGTTTTTAGAGATTTCTTTGTTTGTTCTCATATTTAGATAAAAAGAATTATTCGCAAAATAAACTTTTAAGACACGAATTATCTTTACATTAAGATTATGATTGTGTATAGCGTTATTTATTGTTTTAAAAATTTAGTTTTTTAATGTAAAAATAATTGTTTCACACTCTTCACAATTTAATTTTTAGTGTCTAATTGTATCTTAAAATAATGCGAGAAAAAATATTGTGAATTAATTTTAATTTTGTAAAAACATGTTTAAAATAAACGTATTGTGAAGACACAGAAAAAATCACCAAATGTTTTATCTTGTATCATGTTAATTTAATCAGTTTTTACATAGATTAAAGATACAAAACCAAAAGAAAACTTAATAAAAGTTCAAAGAAAAAGGAAGACAATTATTTTGATTGTTAATTTGTAATTTAAAGAAGTTTTACCAATATATTACTTTCAACTTTTTTTAAATTTTGGATGTACTTTTTTTGATAATGTACCTTGCAAAAGTTTTATTATTTTTTTTATTTGCCTAATTATTTAATCTGCTGAAAAAATAAAATTAATTTGTAAATTGAAACTTCGGATTTTTTACATTAAATATTGTTATAATAACTATTAATTACTACTTAACCGGGAGATTAAGGGAGGATAATTAAATTGAGGGGAAAACCACTTAGCCGAGGGCCTCCAAGACCTTTTTGGGACCCTGGAAATAAAAAAGTAGGGAATTTAAGGTTGGTTATTTCGTTGAACAGGAGCTACGCTCGTGAGGTTTAGAACCCCAAAAAGGTCTTGGAGGCCCTCGGCTAAGTGGTTTTCCCCTCAATTTAATTATCCTCCCTTAATCTCCCGGTTAAGTAGTAATTAATAGTTATAACTTCTCTGTAACAATTGTAAAATGTCGTCTTCTTTTAGGATTTACAGAAAAAAAAACTGCAGCTTATCTCATCTCATTTCTTGATTTAACTGAACAAAACTATATGTCGTCTTCTTTAATTTTGTCCTCTAATCTTTACTTGATCAAAATTTAATTACGGACGTAGTCTATAAATCGATTATCTTTCGTCAAATCTAGCTCCTTCCAATTTTTTATACGGTCTGCGATAAAAGAATTGAGTCTTTGTCACAAACTTAAATTTTAAAGACCATAATTATCAGAAAAATTATTATAGATTTCACATTTATGTCAAATATTAGATAAATAGCACTTAAGTACTCGTCCATTTATCAAAGGAATTGATTTTTGATACAAACTTAAATAAACGACTTTGGTTTGCAAAGATATAAGGATTAGGAAAAAGAGTTAGTGACAAAGACTCAATTTGTTTAAAATGCTTCCTGAATTCTGGGAAAATCAAGTAAGATAAAAGAAATAAATAATATCTTTTTACCTTATTATAAAGAAATAATTTATCTTTCCAATTTACCTTTGACAAAAGGAAGCATATTGCATAAATCTTGCAAGAAAGTTTTGCATTTTTTGCAGATGTTTTACAGTACTGTGTGATGAGGGAGGGGGGTAGGCACACCACACCTTTTTTACATCCCCACCACAATGACGCCGCAGTTCACCAATATTTCTTCCGACCTCACCTTTTTTTGTCCAGACGTTGCTTCTGTGTTTTCAGATGTATATTATTATGTCCTGTAACACTTTTTTCAACTGTTATTTAAAATAACTTGATTTTGTTTAAAATGCATTCTGTTTGACAAATAAAAAGATATATAAGTGCGATTTTGCACATAACGGAAAACACCTATTTTTGTCCGAACCACAACTATTTCTTGTCCGAACCACAACTATTTCTTGTCCAGACCACACGCTTTTCTTATTTTACTCCTAAACTGCAACGTTTAGGTGATAGTCGCTGGGATTTTATAAATCTAAAACCAAAAATTAGCATATTTTTGGTGAGGGGCATAGCAAGTGGTTTTGATTTGCTCGAGGTATTGTGAAATAAAACTTTCCATGAATTGTTTTATTTTGTTTTTATTTAAAAAAAACAGGATACAATATTTGTATTAATTATACACAACCTGACGTGGCTTAAAATTGGACGAAAAAATAAAGGTAAATTGTGACGTCATTTGTGGTCAATACAATAAACAGCATTAATCCTGCTCACATACGTAAACCTGGGGGTCGCGGGGTGCAATTCAAACTGCCTTAAGTATGGTTCTTGTGTCACTATGTTGAAAAAAATATTAATTATAAGTTAAAACCAAGACCACAAATTTCCCAACACCGTTTTGCTGAATCATTTAAAATAGGAAAATAAATTTAAAGTATTTTGAAGTATACAAACGAGTCTAAAGCAAAAAAAATAACAATTCTACAGGCTGCACGTTTTTACTTTACAAAGGATGATTTTAACGTTTTAATGTTTAATAAGATAATGATTTTAATTCACCTATAGCTAATACACACGTTGAACGTTATTTAAAAAGTTTACAAAACAAAGAAGTTGAAAGGGATATGTCCAGGGATCATATTGTGTTAATGTACATAACTTGTGAAAATAAATTGTACACTTTAAACTACTGTTCATGCTCAAACGGACTAACAAAATACATACAGAGTGATTGTTCAAATTCCTTTCTATTCTAATCTCTGTTCTGTGATATTAATTTTTAAAATTAGACAACACAATTTCTGAACCTCTTGTATTGCATTGACTTTTTATAAATACATAAATATCATCATCACTGTTCAAAAACTCTAGCGTGTCTTTTTCTTTACACTATCTAAAATAAAAGAATAGCATATTTTTATTGTTTAAACTTTAAACAAAACGTTCACATAAATAAATACAGTAAATAAATAGATAAATATGAAGTTTAAATACATTGACTGTCATCACTTGATTTTATTAAATCATTATAAATAGGGTTTTAGTTCACAAACCATCGGTGGAATCCATCAAATATAATGTTTGGGTATCTCACGGTGTTAAAAAATCTTAAATGCTTCAACAAGTGGTGTGGAAATAAAAGAGAGTAAAATTGAGATGTTTTTTTTCACGGCCAGGCCTATCAGGAGAACAAAATTTGAAATAAATCGTTAAAATTCATATTCGAACATAAATTTATACTTAAAGTTTAGTTTTAAAGGTTTTTAAACTATTAAAAGTAATTTATAGAAAAATATTGATTACAAAAAAAATATGTAATATTTTCCATGTTAAAGACATTTTTCTTGTCAACCCATCAAATGTAGAGGCCTAATTTACAGGTTTAAGTTAATTCAAATTTAATCCCATGCACTTCTGAATAGTTTTGTTCGATGATTTCTAATACTGTTGATGTATTCCCGTCTTCTATCTGGTTGATAACTTGACAATTCTAAAATAAAAGAGATTATTTCAGATCTCACAAAAGAGGGTAACATTTAGACAAAACGATCAAAATCGAAGAGTTTAGTGTTTCTCCTCGATGAGATTTTGACCAAAAACAGCCGAAAATATTGATTATTTTAATTTTAGAAAAATATTTAGCAACATAAAAAACCTCCAATGGACTTCGACTATTGGGACTGTCTTTGGGATTTCAAATGAAAGATATTTTCGTTTTTCTAGATTCATAATTGTTTAAAATGATAATGAACTCCTTGGTTTCTAAATCAGAAATTACCCAAAACGGTAAAAACGACCCAAAACTCCAGTTTTGGACTACAAGGAACCCTAATTGCAAAAAAACGGACTAAACAAATTCCGTACAATCGTCTTTGAAGTCTCATCCTTTGTGGGTAACCCTGTACTAAACAAAGAAACCTCAATTTAAAATAATCCAGTTATCAAAGGCAAAAAATACATATCTCATTAACTCTTAATCAGACAAACCTTTTCAGTTTACGGTTGTTTTAAATAGAAATTTACTTGAAATTACATCTGTCTATAACAATCCCTTCTATGACGACTTTTTTTGGTCATGATTTCGTCATTTAATGAAAAAATTCAATAGGATAGTTTAAGAAAAAATAATTGAAAAATAATGTTTATCTATGACTTATGTTTGTACCTTTCGTTTTTAAAGCAAGTCCTCCATTTCTGAGAAGGCCTGGTAAATACCCCCCTGAAGGTGGTTCCCCTGGGAATACTTGGAATAAGGAGGCATCCTTGTCGTCTCTCCTGTTCCCTTGTGCCTCCTTTCGAGCCAACAACTCCTATTTAAGGAGTTGAATTATATTATATATGGTAAATGATTTTATAATATCCTGTAATACAATGACACATTTTTCGAAAAAAAACTTTTACCGAAATCTTTTAACCGCTTTTTGTGGATTAGATATTACAAAAATTGCAAAAGAAAGAAGAAAAAAAGATATGTTTTCTCTATTATGCTTGAAAAAAATTATTAGTAATCATATGAAAATTCTAATAAAATTATGATTTTTTTTATACTGAACTATAATTTTTAAAACATAAAATTATAATTTTTAAACTTAAAAATGTTAATTTTTACCTGTTTTTGTTTCAAGGCTGGAGAACCAGCAGAACCAGTTGAAGATAAATCTTTAAATAGAAAAAAGTTTTTGTAAGAATATTGTTCACTTGTAATTAACCCTATCCCGCCTAGGGTATTATTATCTATATAAACTTTTAATAATAAAGTTATGGATTTTTAACACAGACAAGCCGTTTTAAACACCCGCCCCCCCCCAAAAAAAAAATCTATAATATATAATCAAAACATTTTCAGGAGTTTATTCAATCAATCCTAACAAAACTTAAAGGGAGTGACCGGCAATGTATAAAAGTTAAACTGAGATTGCAGTATTATTGAGCAATTTTTTAGGAATTATTTGAGACGTTATTACGGTGTATATTTGTACAGCAAGAGCGCAATATCCTCAAATATTGAATTGCTGACCAAATATGCGCCGTAACGTCTGATGGGTCTCAAATAAATCTAAACAAAATTTCTTAATAATACTGCAATCTCAGTTCAACTACATTGCCGATCACTCCCTTTAACAACATTAAAGATTTTCTTAAAACATCTAATTCTGCAAAAAATTTCCCAATTTTTATCTAAATTAATTAAAAGAACTTTCAAAATTACATTAATTTAGGTAGGTATGATCTAATGAAAACTTTTCTTTATATTCTAGATTTATAATATTTTACGAGATTTATAGACAAAATTTCTAATTTAAATTATGATTGACATTCTCGGCAAACTTCCTTCTATTATTTTTGCTAAATCGAACACAACGTCAGGTTTTTTCTAGAGCTTTATTGTAATGTAATAATTAATAACGACAGTTCTTCAAAATAAAAAAATTAATCATGTTTTTACCTACTCCGCTGTCAGGGTAAAGCCTGGAGTGCCACCATGGTGTTCTGCTCTCACTAAAAAATATAATTTAAAACACAAACTCGGATTACGCTTACAATACCTTTAAAGGGACAGACCGGCTATGTAAGGTAGTTGAACTGGCTATGCAGTGTTGTGGACAAATTCTTTAGGATTCATTTCAGACATATATACAACTTTTTAAAGATCTGCTAATCCTGAGTTTGGGCGCAAAGTCGACGTTCAAAATCGTACTTTTGGGAATTTTTTTATTTTTATTTTTAAATATCGAAATGGAAACAAAATTCTACAGTAAACTAATTATTGGTTGAGAAAAAAAAAATTATCTTATCATCGAAAATAAGAAATCTTATTCATTTATTAGTTTCTATTATCTCTTATTATTGATTGATTTATTGACAAATTTCTTTTGAGAAATATGTTCCTAACCGTCTAATTAGTTTACTGTATTATTTTTACTTTATTTTTCATCATCATTATTCAATAATTTCAAAAACCCGATTCTGAAAACGTATTCACCCAATTCATGGTTTTGAACGTCGACTATGCACTCAAACTCAGTAATTATACATCGTGGAAATGTTTTATATATCTCAAATGAATCCTAAAGAACTTGTCCACAACACTGCATACTCAGTTTAACTACCTTACACAGCCGGTCTGTCCCTTTAAGGTCCGAATTTGAGGACAAATAAAAAAAGTTCCCCTCGATCCTGCCCTGAATACTTAACGGATTTATTTCCCCTAGGTGTCAGGTTATGTCAAGTTGTTCCAATCATTTAGCTTATCTATGCATATCAGAATCAATGCACTGTAAGGTGAGGGACGAATTACAAATATAGAGGGGGGTAGGGTGAGGACCTGTATTTACCTATATCTCCGATGTTCTGCTTCTCCCGCCTGGAATCCCGCGCCTGAAACAGAAATTAGTTCTGCTAATCATAGATGTCTCTGCAGGTGCATATTTCATATCTACAATCTAGACCTTGTATGTGACAGAGAGACCAAACAGACAATCAGCCAAGATATGACAACTAGGGGGAATCAAAACTTTTTTACTTTACTTAAAATATCAGTACATTTTCTTAATGGTAATTTAAAATTGTGTTTTTGTTACCTACAAACTCAATTAATATGGGACTTTAAGAGTATTAAAAAAATTGGTTCACCCTAAAATACAATAAAAACCAATATGGACATCGGACATTTATTGAATATTTATTCAAGACTGTAAAGATAAAAAGCAACATCAGTAAGACCAGGGGCTGAATACAAATTAGATGGAATTTTGGCTTGATAGGCACATGTAAAAAAAAATTTAATTACTTAGAAATTTCAGAAAACACGTCAGTATACTTAAAACTTAACCCTATCCATGCTGGGGTACTTGAAAACCAGGATACGCTAGGGGGGGGCAATTTGACCCTCCTTCTTTAAATCCCATGTTTGATGTCCAAATATGATACATCATTGGAAAGCTCTAATGCTCTACTTTTAGAAACTGCAAAAAAAAATTGCAAATTTGCAAAAATTTTAATTTTGTTGTAAAATCAAATTATATAGTAAAAATGCTTGCAAAAAATAAATTTCCAAAAAATGAAAAAATATTTATTTTTTAAAAGCTATTGACCATGCCATTTCAATTATACAAAATTTTAAATAACCTGATGTGTAATTAAGAACAACTAAATTTATTTTGACGAGTTGTATGCAAATAATTTGCAGAATTTCTTTGCGAAACCCGGTTTTAGACCTAGAGGGAAGGCTTTGGTTATTTAGGAAATTTCAAAAAATGTCAACAGCCTCAGACCAATACTTTTTGATTTATGTAAAAAAAAAATATGAGGGGTGGGGTCAAATTCCCCCCCCCCCCCCCAGCAGAAATAGGGTTAAAAGGTAAAAATTCCTTTGACTTTTAATGAATGTTAACAGGAATGTAAACATAGTTTTTAGCTAATCTTCTTACAACATTGACAATATTCACAACACCACCCTTGAAACTTTTATTTGATCAATAAAGTTTAAGATAATATCGTTTTACAGGTTGAAAAGTATTTTTTCCAATAATTTTTCCTCTCGTAGAAATGTACAAGTCACTTTTGTGAAGAAACTACAAATAAAAATAATCTGTTTTTCAATTGTTAACATGAATCTCTTTATCATACTCAGACAAGGATACTATTGTAAATCATACATTGCCATCTTTTCATGGTGGGTCTCTGAAAAATACGGTTACAGTCCCTTGAAGGTTTGAATAAAAACATTTGGAGAGAAAATGAACGTATTTTAATGAAATTATTTTTGTTGAAATTTAATTTTGTTGATGAAACCTTTATAATTAGAGATTTTTGAAAGCCATGAAAAACTCTTACCATGGTTGAATAAAAAAGTTGATCTTGATAAATCTCTTCTTTTATTCTTCCATCCGGTCTAGTAGTAGCCCGGATATTAGGAGTATATGGACCCGGATCTCTACAGTTCCCAGAGTACCCGGATGATCCGGTGAGAGAGTATGGATCTTCATCTGATGATGAGTTGACAGTTCTCTTGAGAGTTTGTATCTGATAGCTGGTCGGTGAACTTGATACCTTCTCACACTCTGAATAATATATTCGCTGTATTTCCGCCCGTCAAAATTAAACTTCTTTGTAAGGATCTGATTTATAAAGGCGGTTTAAATTCCTCGCAGGCTGATTTATTTTTTATAAGTGTGGTCCACTGTATTACACGATATACTTCATGATGTGCGTTGCATGACATTCCTATTGAAGGAAGTAAACGTTCAGTTCCAAGGCAGCAGGGTCATTTGACAGTACATCCTGATGGGCGTACTGTAAACTGACCCTGCTGCCTTAGAACTTCATTAAGTATTTCTTGTAATGCATGGGAACTTCCTTATAGGAAAATAAGCCATCATGCGTAAAAGTTCAACCGCCTTTTTAAATCAGATCCTTACAAATAAGTGTAATTTTGACGGGCGGAAATACAGTGTTGGATAATCTGAGGGTAAACTCTGGTTTTTAAGATATCGCTTAGCTTCGGGGCCAAAACTCACTTAACAGAAGGAGAAGATCAACATCACATTACTGGTGTGATCTCGTAGTTTCTCTAGTTTGGATTTTACGCAAAAGTTTGAGTAACAGCGAATTCCGGTTTCATTAGAAATGCAAAACATTCTAATCAATGTGTATTGTGTAGTGTGTAATGTGTGAAAATTTCATTCAAACGTGAAATTTACTTAATTTTTGACGTGCTACAAGTAACCTTTTATTAGATTATGAAAATGTTTTTATATGAATCTGACAGACGATTTTTGGAACTGTTGGGTGCATCTTCGTTCAAGTTTACATATCAGCCAACATTTTATTTTGCAATTCATCTAAATATATTAAGTTGTAATCTCTGTTTGTCCGTTTGTTTTTCCGAACATAACTCAGAAACCCCTGGACTGATTCGCCTCGATTGTTGATTGGGGAACTTTTAAGACCCACGGAAATGTTCTTAGCTTAGTTTTGAGATTCTAAGTTGAGTTGGTGGACTTAAATAACGAAAATTCAGGTTCCAAGTAAAATTGTTCAAAAACGGCGGGAGTAACTTTTAGTAACCTGGGCAGCGCTGGGTTTCCAAGCTATAGTAATTTAATAAATTGCTTATTATGCTTATAAACAGATATTTAGGAGACGTTTAAAAACCCGAACCCCGATGAATTTTAGATTAAAAATACCATATATATATTCTTTAAGAAGAGTAAAACACAATGATACGAAAAATCCTGCAGCATTTACTATTTTATTAGGACAACAGAGTAGAAATATCAAAAAAGGAGGAAATAATATGATTTTTTTAGTTCATTTCTCTTTTTTAAACTCTATGTTTTGATAAGGACCCTCCTAACCAGAAATTGTTGTTAACCTTTGACAATAACTCAGTTGACACTTTTACCTGTTATTGGCATCTTGTCCCCTAGCATCTCTAGTGCCACTATATTGATAATCATGACCCAGACCGGGCACCCAAGTAGGTCAGCCTCATTCCGGACAAACGCAATTGTTGATATACACTACAAATATATATATGTTGATATACACTACAAATAAATATATGTTGATATACACTACAAATAATCCGAAAAAGTAAATTAATGTAAAATATATCAACACTAAACCTATAAGGATAAATTAAGTTTTTAACTACATAGGTCCAACTTTGTTTGGTTTAGCCATAAATTAATTAAAAAACAGATAGGACACCAGATGTCGTCTTTTCAAGACTTAGATGAAGCTCGATACAATAACCCTGCGGCGTTGAGTTACATGACAGAGAGAGCCTGTTCTACGCCGACTGCGCGTAGCTCCTCTGGGCTTTTGCCTCAGGGTTGTTGTGAACGAGTTTCATCCAAATTTCGAAAAGACAATAAAAAGTGTCCTATCTGTTATTTTAATTAATCTATGGGTTTAGCATATGCAAGGCTACAGCAAAAATCGTGTACAAAAAGAGATTATTTTTTAGATATAAAAGTCACCCCTCTCTGTTTAAACTTTAAACAAAACGTTCACATAAATAAATACAGTAAATAAATAGATAAATATGAAGTTTAAATACATTGACTGTCATCACTTGATTTTATTAAATCATTATAAATAGGGTTTTAGTTCACAAACCATCGGTGGAATCCATCAAATATAATGTTTGGGTATCTCACGGTGTTAAAAAATCTTAAATGCTTCAACNAGAATATATACAGGTTTAGAGGTCTAGAATATATACAGGTTTAGAGGTCTCGAATATATACAGGTTTAGAGGTCTAGAATATACAGGTTTAGAAGTCTAGAATATATACAGGTTTAGAGGTCTCGAATATACAGTTTTAGAGGTCTAGAATATATACAGGTTAAGAGGTCTAGAATATATACAGATTTAGAGGTTTCGAATATATACAGGTTTAGAGGTCTAGAATATGCAGGTTTAGAAGTATAGAATATTTTATAGAATATTTCATATAAATTATAAACATCTTTAGAATTTGTCCAAAAATCGTTAAAAAACTGTGTCCTTTTTATTAAAGGGTTTGAATAATATGTATATATTTTAGAAAAAAGGAAATAATTCTGAACCTGTCTTTCTCTAGTAGCCCTGAGGGTAGTTTAAGTATATCATTACTTACAGCCGTTTCTTCAGCGGTATTTTTCACATATACTCCATTATTGTCTAATCTAAACAATATTTAATTTAACTCCATTATTGTCCAATCTAAACAATATTTAATCTAACTTCATTATTGTCCAATCTAAACAATATTTACTCTAACTCCATTATTTTCCAATCTAAACAGTATTTAATCTAATCCATTATTGTCCAATTTAAACAGTATTTCATATAATCCATTATTGTCCAATCTTAACAATATTTAATCTAATTCCATTATTGTCCAATCTAAACAATATTTAATCTAATTCCTTTATTGTCTAATCTAAACAATATTTAATCTAATTCCATTATTGTCTAATCTAAACAATATTTAATCTAACTCCATTATTGTCCAATCTAAACAATTATTGTCCAATTTAAACAATATTTAATCTAACTCAGAATAATTGTCCAATCTAAACAATATTTAATCTAACTCAGAATAATTGTCCAATTAAACAATATTCAATCTAACTCAGAATAATTGTCCAATCTAAACAATATTCAAGATAAATCTCAATTTAAATAATTAAGATAATCCTCCTTGTGAGAAACCTTGAAAATACTAAACATATTCTTATTTTCAATTCTCCATTTGTAGCCGGTTATTGGCTGATTAACAATGGTACCCTTTAAAGCCTTTTTTCTAGGAAAAACAGTGTGTCCAAAAATTACCATAGTATTAGTGGTTATTTCAATTTTAAACTGTATATTAACGATTTTGGACTTGTTTCATACGTACTAAAATTTCTGAGCGAAAAATGTTTTAAATGATATGTTTGGAATAAGAATTATTTTTTTTATGATCCGATGGACNATCAATTTCTCGAGACAGGAACATCAGATAAAACTTTCATGGGTCGCGATCAAGAGCTAAAGAGATTAGCTTTTAACCTATACCCCCTTTCATTTTTCCTTTACTGTCCCTTTAACATTGTAAGTTGTAAGGAAGCATGTTTTGATCACAGTTATGCAGCAAATTAAATTTACAAAGAAATTGAGTTTTTACCACAAACTCAAATTTTCTAATCCCTATATCTTTTCAGCCTGATGTTATAACCCTTTGATATTTTAATAATTAATTTATTTTAATAATGATATATTAGATTATTTGATCTAACAGAATTCATAGTTTGAAATATATAAGATCTACGACGTTTGGTTGCACAGATATCAGGACTATAAAATCAGAGTTTGTGGCAAAGTTTTGCAAATAGAATGCATGTAATCGGGGGGTTATAAAATTGCTTGACTGTTTACCTTTTGATTAAAATATTTCCTCCTTCGTCCATTTTGAGTTTGCATCCGGGTCCAAGTTCTCCCTTCACCTATACAGACAGTGTCAGAATTTAATGAATTTAAGCCGCGGCTTAAATCTGCCAAAACCGGTTTCAATTGAGTGCCGGCCATATTTTAGCCACAGTTTGAATTTAAGCTGCCGCTCAAATTCTTTTAATTTGGCCTCAGGACCAATAAGAGCAAATCTAGAGAGTGGGGGTTATGTGTTTGCTTTCTACACTTTATAAAGATGTGTTGCAAAAAAGGTGCCCTGGGTCGACTCTACATACACTGGGTACATAAATGCATATACAGGACATGTTGTATCGGAGCTGAGAACTTTAGAATGGTGGATATTGAGATTAATGCTTGATCCTCTCTTTTTATACATGTGTTGCAAAAAAGGTGCCCTGGGTCGACTCTACATACACTGGGTACATAAATGCATATACAGGACATGTTGTATCGGAGCTGAGAAATATATATATATACATGTGTTGCAAAAAAGGTGCCCTGGGTCGACTCTACATACACTGGGTACATAAATGCATATACAGGACATGTTGTATCGGAGCTGAGAACTTTAGAATGGTGGATATTGAGATTAATGCTTGATCCTCTCTTTTTCTTAATCTCGAGACTAACTTAATCTTGCACTTGTATCCTGAAAAGTGTATTAAATTCAACCAATCAGAGTCGCGTATATGAAGTTGACAAATTTGAAATTGTGCACGCCATTTAATATTATATACAGAAACAGGAGTGATTTTTAAATTTTAAAAACTGGCTTTTGATTTTTTCTCTACTATATCCAAGAAAGAACTGATTAAGAAGAAAATGAAAAGCGCGTCCATTGGATTGGATACTCAGATTAAGTAATTGGGATTAAGGATATCTCATTCTAAAGTTTTCAGCTCGGTTCGGATTATGAAACATTGAGGGTGAGGGTGGATAATATTGTATGCACACAAAATAAATATAATTTTAAAGAGTTTGAAAACTGGATAACGATGGGTTTAGGCATTTTTTTAAGAAACTGCTCAATAGTTTTATCCTTATCACGTGATTATGTATTTTTCTAATTAATGTTTAAATATATTAAGTAAATAATTCATATCAACGCAAAAAACTAATATGGACGCGATCGGTTCAGCCGTTTTGACGTTTATTGGACACAAACGGACAAACAAACACCCAGACACCCAAGCATAAAGTATTTATATAGATATACAGACCTGTTCAATATTACTGTCTCGTAGTGGATTACTGAAACCATTTAGCCCGATCCTAGATAAATAAAATATATGGACAATAAAAGATGTTTATATTAATTATCACTATTTAATATAAATTGACATCAACAATTAAAAAACACACTGTATAATGTTTGTTTTTGTTTTCAAAGCCGCCACAAAATAAAATAAAGAAGGAAATTGCAGGCTGCAGTTCCGAATCAAAAATAAATAATTAAATCCTTTTTTCGCTCTTAGACTTTGAAAAATAATTTCCCTTTTTTAAAAGACGACTTTCAACCCCTGTATTAAATGCCTTTACGATTTAAGTTTTTTAATATGATATATTTGCAAAGTTTTGCTTTACAATCTGAAAATGTTGACTCTAACGGAAAACAAAAGGCTTTCTCTTCTATCAGATTCAGCATTTTTCATTGTGAGATAAACTTAAGCTTTAAGAACAAGCACTTTAAAATATGCTTAACTTCAAATTTATAATACAAAGAACATGAATACATGCCACAAATTCTAATATTTAAATTCTTATATCTCTGCATCCTGAAAATCCGGTTCATTAGGCAGATAGAAAAATTAGTGTGCAGTATACTATACTGCCATAAATGGTAACACGGGACGGTACACCAAAAGAATCATCCCTTTCTAGGGAGATTAATGTGCTGCAGCCTGCCGGATGGTGATGGAAGTATGAAAAGTATGATAAGTAAGATAAGTATGAAAGTATGAAAAGTATGAAAAGTATGAAAAGTATGATAAGTATGAAAAGTATGAAAAGTATGATAAGCATGAAAAGTATGCTAAGTATGATAAGCATGAAAAGTATGAAAAGTATGATAAGTATGAAAATATAACTTGATTGATAACAATTTGTTAGATCAAATTTAGAACATATTAAAACTATCAGATTTGTTGCAATTGTATGAAGGTACAGGATAAATGTTTTAAGCATGCGCTTACTATGCTCAGAGTGTCGAAAAAAAATTTAGTTTCAAAAATATTTTAATGACTTGTAAACTTGTCAAATCTAACATTTAATCTTTACTTCATCACCCAGTATATATTGAATATTGAGTTTAAAAATTGAGACTTTTTTGGACACCCTGTATAGTGTGTACAGGATGCAATAATTCATCTTGCATTGTCGGCATGCTACATATGCTATGCTATATATATAGGAAGCTTCATACATAGAAACTTTTTACAAACTTGGCTTTAAACATAGACAAGTTATGCGTTACAGACGAAACATTATCATAGATGGGTTTGAACATAGACAAATTATGCATTACAGACGAAACATTTTCATAGATGGGTTTGAACATAGACAAATTATGCGTTACAGACGAAACATTTTCATAGTTGGATTTGAATGCAGACAAATTATGCGTTACAGACGAAACATATTCATAGTTGGATTTGAACACAGACAAATTATGCGTTACAGACGAAACATTTTCATAGATTGGTTTAAACATAGACAAACTATGCGTTACAGACGAAACATTTTAATAGTTGGGATCAAACATAGACATGCTATGCGCTATAGACGAAACATTTTCATAGTTGGATTTAAACATTCGCGCTGCAAACGGATCAATTACAACAAAAAGACATTCTGGAGGCAAATCGAAATTGTTAAGATCGCGGGTAAGTTGCAAAGTTTCAGGTGTTGAAATAGTTCAAAGGGAAACTTATCATGTAACCTTGTTTCCATAGTTGGTTTCCAAATATTCCAAATTAGGTTTCCAAAGTAGGTTTTCAAAGTAGGTTTCCATAGCGTGTTTTCCAAAGTTGGTTTCCTAATATTCCAAAGTGCGTTTTCAAAGTAATTTTCCAAAGTAGGTTTCCAAAGTAGGGTTCCAAACAGGTTTCCAAAGTAAGTTTTCAATGTAGGTTTCCAAAGTAGGTTTCAAAAGTAGGTTTCCAAAAAGGCTTCCAAAGTAAGTTTTCAAAGTAGGTTTCAAAAGTGGGTTTCCAAAATTAGTTTCTGAAATAGGTCTCAAAATAGGTTTCCAAAGTTGGTTTCAAAAGTAGATTTCCAAAGTAGGTTTCCAAAGTTGTTTTGAAAAGTAGGTTTCCAAATTAGGTATCAAAAATTGGTTTTCAGAGTTGGCTTCCAAAGTGAATTTCTGATTTCCGGGGCTAAAAAAAATGTATGTTTTCTTGGTTTCCTTGGTTTCCTTGGTTTCCTTGGTTTCCTTGGTTTCCTTGGATTCCTTGGTTTCCTTGGTTTCCTTGGTTTCCTTGGTTTCCTTTGTTTCCTTTGTTTCCTTGGTTTTCTTGGTTTCCTTGGTTTCCTAGGTTTCCTGGGTTTCCTTAGTTTCCTTACAGTTTTTAAAAATTTCCTTTAAATAAACGCAACCAATAATTTTTAAGGTCTTTTTTACTTCAGCTCTTGTTTCAAAATTTAAAAAAAAGTGGTTAAACTACGAGCCTAAGTTAAACCACTTCTCTTGAACTTGATCCAGCCACTAAAGAGAAAAAGTTAAACTCAATCTACTTAAATCATTTGATCAAAGACGACCTCTAGCGGATGTTTTTGAACTAATTATTCTATGCTGCTTGCTAAGGTTCCTTAATTATCCGGTATAACAAGAAGTATACCCCGGTTTCCTGGCTAAAAACAAGCAGACATATTTTGGTATATTGTTGAAAATAATTCAGAGCGCTTGGTGCCACTAGCAACACAAATCCATTCTCTCTATAGAACTATATGCAAGCGCGCTGTTTTGCATTTGTGATATTTTAAACATCCTAAACAGAAAAGAAAAGATAGTTGGGGGGTTGAAATTTACCCCCGGACCCCACCTTTTTTGTATTCTGAGAATCAATTTCCATCCTAATTCTTGTAGATTACAATTGCTTTTTACATACATCCGATGATCCTAGAGATAATAAAGGAAATGTATTGAGAGAATTGAGATGTAAAATTTTTCTTCTTTCAGAAGAAGACAGTAATCAAAACTTTTGTATTCAGTTTCCTGTGATATATCTCCTGATGGGTTGAGGAATGGTTGAGGAGGGGTACAGGTAGAAAGGGGTAGATAGGGGGAGGGGGGAAGTGTGTGACCTTCAGTGGTTTCAAGCTGATCTACTTAACTTTTTCTTCAACCTCGACAGTCGACATTGTATTCAAAAATAGAATAAAACTGCTACATACATTTATGGTGTACTGTCTGGTTCTATATTTGTATCTGTTGTATCTGTACCTGTATCTGTATCTNCTTCCCTGGTGGTTTCTGAAAAATGAAGCATATCCAGGTCTAATCTATGCTAATAATACAATTCAAGTGTCCTCAATATGAATAAGCTTCTTACTTGTCAGCATACTAAAGTGTGATGGTGGAGGGGGACAGCATCAAAAATTTTACTTCTACAAGATGTCCAGTTGGTCAGCTTAGACTTGTTGGATTACATATATGTATAAGATACGACTTACTGAGTCAACAAACAAAACAACGTTTGTAAATTACATTACAAAAAGGAAATCGGTAAAAATAAGTTTTAAACCTATCCCGATTAGGCTAGTTTGTCTAATATTGCCCCTTCCCTTTTGCCTTTAGAGTTGAAACAAGGGAGTGTGATACATGTCCCTAGTCCAACATACTGTTGAAGGCAAAAAATTATACCTCTAACTTTAATGGTTAGGGTGAGTGAAAGGGAGGATTTTAAAAATGTACAAAAAGTACGACGGAAAAATGTTAAAAATGATTATTTTTACTTTTGACAAATATTACTACACTCTACCCTACCCTATACAATATTACTACACTCTACCCTACCCTATACAATATTACTACACTCTACCCTACCCTATACAATATTACTACACTCTACCCTACCCTATACAATATTACTACACTCTACCCTACCCTATACAATATTACTACACTCTACCCTACCCTATACAATATTACTACACTCTACCCTACCCTATACAATATTACTACACTCTACCCTACCCTATACAATATTACTACACTCTACCCTACCCTATACAATATTACTACACTCTACCCTACCNCCCCCCCCCCCCAGCATATCCTGGTTTTCAAGTACCCCAGCAGGGATAGGGTTAAAGGTTTCTATAATAAAAATGCAAAACAAAAATGTAAATTTTAAACAATTGTCTCACTTTTAAATTTCTTCTGCGCATCATGGTTAAAAATTTAAAAGTACAAAAAACTAAATTTTTAGCGGAAATTTGCCAAAGTCCTCCAAAAAAAGTAGTTCTTTGCCCCTAAATCAACCAATAACCAAAAACTGGGGAATATTCAGTGGTCAGAGGCGCCACTTTAGACACCCATATTGACATGTTTCGAAAAAATGAAAAATCGACCTCTCTTAGTGATTCTTGATTTTTAAAAGTGCTTAAGCTGACCCATTTTTTTAAAAATAAAAAAAAATTCATATTGTTTTTTTGTAACTTTAATGGTATAATTTTTGCTGCGTGCTGGTAATTTTTGAAGAAAAAAAATCATATTGTCCCAGGGTTAATATAAAGAACACGTCAAGCTATAGTTAATTGCACGTAAAATTTTAATCTTTTTTTTTTTTTTTTTTGTAAAATCACAATTATAATTGAGATATGAGGTCATAAAGCCACATCAGTAATGTCGCAAAATTTAGACCTTTACCTTCTGACTTGCATAATCATTACTTTGTTTAAAATGTACACTGTACAGTGTACAACCATTTGTTTATTTACAATTCTTATTCGCTTATAATGGGCCAACCAATCAAAACAACCAACTCTGGTTAGGCTGGTCCAAACTACATTGTAAATTGTGATTTATTTTTTGTATTATCTCTGAATAAAAATATGAAATAATATGAAATATGAATGAAAGTGTAACATTTTAACAGTATTAAAAATTTAGAAAAGGAAATACTTATTTAAAAAAAACTATACTCAATTATACGGCCTCTTGATGATTGCAAATTTTGAATGAAATGTGAAAAAATCGAATATCGTTTATTGGATTTATTAACTATTTTGTTATTAAATACGTTCGTATATTTGCATCTGAAAACAGATGAAATGTTAGAACTTTAAATTTG